GTCTAGGCGCGTCGGACCGGAGGCAGGTAAAAGGCGCCCGCCTGGTGTAACGGGAGCGCGGCCGGATGGCGAGGGGCGGTGATCCCGGCCGGAGCCTGGAAACACTTAGCAAATAGCACCGATGGAACATGCCGTCCGGTGGCCACGGTTAAGTGAGATGGTGCTGGGGATGCAGGTTGGGGTTACGGTCCCCTGACCCAAGGTTCTGGCAGGAAAGGAACGGCTCTGGGTGCCCCGGGCACCCCAGGTTCTCTGTGTTTGTGGCGACTACGGGAACCCCCAGCTCGAGAGGACTCGGGCCCCTGTTCACTCAGGACTCCTTTCTCTCCGTCAGGTCTGCTGTTTTGCACTTTCCTGCCCTCTGCAGTCCCTTTTGTGAGCCATGTCTCAGGTGAGCTGCTGTTTCCTCTTTTCTTAATGAAGCCAGCCTTACTTTTCAGGACTCATGGATATAGGCTTGCTTTCTCTTGAAACTACCCACCTGGCAGAACCTGAGACTGCCTCCTACTTTTCCTCTTCAGGTGCTGGTGCTTGAGAAGACAAAGTTGACAGGAAGCGGGGTTTCTGACCTGGCAAGCGTATTTTACGGTTAGAGAGTAGGGTGACAGCTGTTACATCGCCTCAGCTTTTCCCTAACATTAGAATGAGGAGCGTTTTACTTTATCTCGCTCACTCTAGCTGCCCTTAATTCGGTTTTTTTTTTTTTTTGGAGGGGGGAGACAGAGTCTCAAGTTGTTGCCCTGGGTAGAGTGCTGGGGTGTCACAGCTCACAGCAACCTCAAACTCTTGGGCTTAAGCCATTCCCTTGCATCAGCCTCCCAAGCAGCTGGGAATACAGTCACCCGCCACCACGCCCGGCTATTTTTCTTATTGTAGTTGTCAATATTTGTTGGCAGGATTTGGGCTGGATTCGAATCCGGGCTGCATTCGAACCCGTCAGCTCCGCTGTGTGTGGCTGGCGCCCTAGTCGTTGAGCTACAGGCGCCGAACCCACCCTTCGTTCGTTTATTCAAACTTTTTTTGTTTTTACTCAATATTTATTTTCTTTTTCTTTCTTTCTTTTCTTTCTTTCTTTTTTTTTTTTTTTGTTTTGAGACAAAGTCTCAAGCTGTTGCCCTTGGTGGAATGCTGTGCTGTCACAGTTCACAGCAACTTCAAACCCTTGGACTGAAGCTATTCTCTTGCTTCCGCCTCCCAAGTACCTGGGACTATAGGCTCCCTCCATAACGCCTGGATATGGTAGCAGTTGTCATTGTTGTTTTAGCTGGCCCAGGCCAGGTTTGAACCCACTAGCCCCAGTGTATGTGGCCAGAGCCCTACCCACTGAACTACAGGCACCGCCCTCCATATTTATTTTCAACACCCCCATCACAGTGTGATTCATGGGCCAGCAGTATCAGCATTACTTGAAAATTTATTAGAAACGAAGATTCTTAGGCTTCTGCCTACTTGCCCTGGGGAATGAAGGCTTGTTCACTGTCTATGGTGAAAGTATTCTACGTTGTAAGCTTTCTTCACCCTTGTCTTAACAAAGAAAAGAAATGAAGATTCCTGACCCCTTCCTCAGACCTTCTGAATCAGAAATCTGGGGCTGTGGTCCAGTAGTCTGTATTTTTGCAATCTCTCTAAGTGACCCTTACACATAACCATCCTATGTCTGGGAGGGTCGGCAGTGAGCAAAACACAGAACTCACTTTTCAGACATCACATTAAATTCCTTTAGCAAGGAACACTGATTATTTTTACTCTAGCTAGGGCTAAATGTGTGGCTGGTAATTGTGCTTCAAAGAGGTAGGGAAAACAAACAAGGGTGGCCATTCCAAATTATTCCCTCATTTTTAGTTCCACTTCTTTGTCCAATCTTTTTCCTACTTGTCTCCAAATTCGGAGACTGAGTTTTATTGAGAAATTTGATTTCTACCTCTGCTGCAGATCTGATTGTTTACTGTAGGAATGAGCTTCCTTTATTAGTCAACAGTGTTTTACTGCTTATTTTTTAAATTTGAAAACTAAAATATAACTTTGCCATACATATGGGTTTGCTTATAGTTTGGGATTTTTTTTTTTTTCAAGACAGAGTCTGACTCTGTTGCCCTGGATAGAGTGCCATGGTGTCACAAGTCACAGCAACCTCAAACTCCTAGGTTCAGGTGATCTTGTTGCCTCAGCCTCCAGAATAGCTGGGACTACAGGCACCTGCTACTACTCTTGGCTAATTTTTCTATTTTTGTAGAGATGGCGTCTTGTTCTTGCTCAGGTTGTTCTCAAACTCCTAAGGTCAAGTGATCCACTTACCTCAGCCTCCCAGAGTGCTGGGATTATTGGCATGAACCACCATGCCCAGCTAGTTTGGGATCTTTTAAATTTCCATTCATGCCTTATAAGTTATGTCAATCACTCAAGTGGTGCAAAGCAAGGGGTTATTTATTATTTTCCCTTGTCTTGAGAGAAGAAGCTTTAGGTTACATTCCTTTCTGGGGAGATCCATGTATGTTATAGTTTATCTCTTTTGCTTTGTGACATTGCTAAAGTTACCACTATGTCTTACAGCTGGGCGGCGCCTGTAGCTCAGTGTGTAGGGCACTGGCCCCATATACCAAGGATGGTGGGTTTGAACCTGGCCCCAGCCAAACTGCAACAACAAAAAAATAGCCAGGCGTTATGGAGGGCACCTGTAGTCCTAGCTACTTGGGAGGCTGAGGCAAGAGAATTGCCTAAGCCCAGGAGCTAGAGGTTGCTGTGAGCTGTGACGCTATAGCACTCTACTGAGGGTGACTGAGTGAGACTCTGCCTCAAAAAAAAAAAGTTTTACAGCGATTTCTTCAGGGTAGGAGATAACTGAAAAACTTGAGATTGCATGCCCTGTTTGAACAACAAGTTATTACCCTGAAGAAATTTTAACCAAATCTATATTAATATATATAAATCTATATTAATATAGATTATTAATTAATAATTAATAATTAATTAATAGTAATAATATTATTGTTGCTTATAAATTATTAATTATAAATTAACAATTATTTATTTATTATAAATTAATTGATAATTAATATTAATTAATATAGATTAATAATATCAATAATTTATTAATAATAAATATTAATATAGACTGGTATTAAAGAAAATATAGAGTGCTTATTAAACATAATGGAATAATTATTGTTATTAATGAAATAATATCTTTTTTTTTTTGAGACAGAGCCTAAAGCTATCCCCCTGGGTAGAGTGCTGTGGCATCAGAGCTCACAGCAACCTCCAACTCCTGGGTTCAAGCCAGTCTCCTGCCTCAGCCTCCCAAGTAGCTGGGACCACAGGCGCCTGCCACAACACCCGGCTATATTTTGGTTGCAGCTGTCATTATTGTTTTGGTGGGCCTGGGCTGGATTCGAACCCACCACCTTAGGTGTATGTGGCTGGCGCCTTAGCCACTTGAGCCACAGGTACTGAGCCATGAAATAATATCTTAAGAATTTTTTTTTTTTTTTTTTGAGCCCGAGTCTCACTTTGTGACCCTTGGTAGAGTGCTGTAGTGTCGCAGCTCAGAGCAGCCTCCAACTCTTGGGCTTAAGCGATTCTCTTGCCTCAATCTCCCAAATAGCTGAGACTATACATGCCGGTCACATCGCCCATCTATCTTTTTGTTGCAGTTGTCATTGTTATGTAGCTGGCCTGGGCCAGGTTTGAACCCACCAGCCTTGGAGCATATGGCCAGTACCATAACCACTGTGCTATGGGTGGTGAGCTAGATCTTAAGAATTTTTATAACCAAAGTCAAAAATCCATGTTATGCACTCATTCAATCCTTTATCATGAATAAGATCGTAAATTGTCTCAGAACAAATCATTTATATTTTTTCTCCTTTTTTCCATTTGTATAGCAAAACACAAAAGTTAGGCTCCTAGTTATAATTACTCATAATTCTGAAAACTCCCATTGCCACTGCTGCTACACGTTGCCCTTCCTCCATAGTGAGACTGATTTTACTCCTTGATGGGTCTTTTTTTTTTAGACAGAGTTTCACTTATTAACCCTTGGTAGAGTGCTGTGGCATCATAGCTCACAGCAACCTCCAACTCCTGGGCTTAGGCGATTCTCTTGCCTCAGCCTCCCAAGTAGCTGGGACTATAGGTGCCTGCCACAACGCCCAGCTATTTTTTTGTTGCAGTTTGGCTGGGGCTGGGTTTGAACTCACCACCCTCGGTATATGGGGCCGGCGCCCTACTCACTGAGCCACAGGCGCCGCCCTATAAATCTTTGCAGGCATAGGTGCTAGTTGTGCAGATATCTATTTGTCATTTCAGGGGCCAGTGACTTTCAGAGATGTAGCCATAGACTTTTCCCAGGAGGAATGGAAATGGCTTCAGCCTGCACAGAGAGATTTGTATAGATGTGTAATGTTGGAGAACTATGGCCATCTGGTCTCACTGGGTAAGTATTGTTCCTCATGTTCTTCAAGTCAGAATTTGATTGTTAGAATGGCTATTGTAAATCTTTATTATCTGGCTGGAAGATAAGGAATTTTAAAAAAATTAGTTTTAGGGCAGTGCCTATGGTTCAGTGGGTAGGGCACTGGCCCCATATACCAAGGGTGGCAGGTTTGAACCCAGCCCTGGCCAGCTAAAACAGCAATGACAACTGCAACAACAACAACAAAAGCCTGTAGGTCAGCAGTTAGGATGCCAGCCACATACCAGAGGTGGCAGGTTCAAACCCAGCCTGGGCCTTCTAAACAACAGTGACAACTACAACAACAAAATAGCCTGGCGTTGTGGCAGGCGCCTGTAGTCCCAGCTACTCGGGAGGCTGAGGCAAGAGAATCTCTTAAACCCAAGAGTTGGAGGTTGCTGTGAGCTGTGATGCCACCGTACTCTACTGAGGGCAACAAAGTGAGACTCTTATCTCAAAAAAAAAAAAAAAAAAGTTTTAAAGATGGAGCTTGTAACTGCACCTAATCTTCAGAAATTTCTCATACTTATATCTAACATTTCTTTTCATGGTCCTTCTTTTCTTAGGATTCAAGGACTAATTTTGAATTTATTTGATTTTCTGCAAGCAGGTCTTTCCATTTCTAAGCCAGATGTGGTTTCCTTATTGGAGCAAGGGAAAGAACCTTGGCTAGAGCAAGGGGATGTGAGAAGAAATCTGTTTTCAGGTGAGTGAGTTAGCAGCTGGTAGGGAAGACTTTTAAAACCACCAAATTAAGTCAATGAGAAACAATAAACTTTTTTTTTTTTTTGAGACAGAGTCTCACCATGTTGCCCTTAGTAGAGTTCCATAGTGTCATGGCTCATGGCAACCTCAAACTCTTGGGCTTAAGTTATTCTCTTGCCTCAGCCTCCCAAGTAGCTGGGACTACAGGTGCCCAACACGATGCCTGGCTATTTTTTGGTTGTAGTTGTCATTGTTGTTTGGCAGGCCTTGCCTGGGTTCGAACCTACCAGCTCTTATACGTGGCTGGCACCTTAGCCGCTGAGCTAGAGGCCCTGAGCCGAGAAACAATAATTTTTAAAAAATTACATCTTGGTTGGAACTTTTTTCTTTAAGACACCAGAGATGTGAAGACTGTCAAGTCTTTCCCACAACTCCATGAGGGACTACTTCAAACCCAATTCTCATACTTACTCCACTTTCTTACAGGAAAGTCTTTCCATTGTTAGCACTGTCTGGTCTCTAAATTTCATTTCTTTTTGTTTTCTTCCCTTTCTTCAAATTGGCATATGTTTCTATCAAACTCTTGGGATTAAGTGATTCTCTTGTGTCAGCCTCCCAAGTAGCTGGGACTACAGGCACCTGCCACAACACCCAGCTATTTTTTTGTTATAGGTGTCATTGTTATTTAGCAGGCCCAGGTCAAGTTCGAACCCACCAGCCCCAGTGTATGTGGTCGGCTCCCTAACCACTGAGCACAGGTGCCAAGCCCACATACTTTCTTAACAATATTTACTGAAATTTTAATCTTGTCAGACTTTTTCATAAGTGCTACAGAGTCTAGAGGGCATACAAAAGTATAGTAACTATCAAGGGATTTTTGTTAGTGATATGGCATGGATAACTCGTATTAGATATGCTCAAATTCGTAGTTTAGCAATGAAAGAAAAGGGATTTTTTTTTGTTTGTTTGTTTGTTTGTTTTGAGACAGAGTCTCACTATGTCACCCTTGGTAGAGTGCCATGGCATCAGAGCTCACAGCAACCTCCAACTCTTGGGCTTAAGCAATTCTCTTGCTTCAACCTCCCAAGTAGCTGGGACTACAGGCAACAATGCTTGGCTATTTTTATTTATTTATTTTTTTGAGAGACAGAGTCTCACTTTGTTACCCTTGGTATAGTGCTGTGGCATCACAGCTCACAGCAACCTCCAGCTCTTGGGCTTAGGTGATTCTCTTGCCTCAGCCTCCCAAGTAGCTGGGACTAT